TGACCCGATACGCGGTCGACCGCGGCGGTCGATCGCGATAAATGACAAAGCCTAAAAAACAATTACAGGCTTCGGCGATCGACCATGCCCAACTCCAGACTCTGGGGTTTGAATTACAGGGTCTGGCGGTTGACCACGGCGGTTGACCGCACCAAGACCTGAATCAAGCCCAGGGTCCGTGCACGAATATGGTCGACCGGCCTTGCACCGCGGTCGACCGCACACCACAAAAAAACAATTCCTGCTTCCAAAACCTATTCTAAACCAATTCATTCGCCAAATCTATAATTCTCCACCTCGGTAAAGTTTTTCCAAAACTGAGCCGACACCAATACCAACCAAACGTCTCACTTATTACGTCCAGTACGAAGTGGAACAAATCCACGACAATGGACTCAATCCACAACAAGTCGAAACATAAATAAGAATGTGAGTACTTTCCAAACGTCGGTATCAACTCACCAAACCGATTGCATCATAAATGACTGCCTACGTATCCTTTTGCCCAAGAAATCAAGTCTTCACGTAGTTCACCAAATGGCCTCCAAAGGCCCTCAATCCATTAGAAGAGTTCTCAACCCTTCCTCAACATCACCAATGAATCTGCGGCTGATAGCACTCCCAATGGCCCCAAAGTGAGACGAACCAAACACCTCCACCTGAGGTGAATCAACGTCCATATCCAAATCCAAACCACGTCCACCAGCTGCACTCGAATCAACCAACTTATCATATGCATCCAAATCAACATGATCCCCAAACTGTGTTACCTCACCTGGAATCTCAAACGATACAGTATGATCTGGAGTATATGGAGTAATCTCCACCCAATGTGGAGTAGCATCACCCTCCACCTGCTGTGATATTACAACGATCTGATCAACACTCTTCACCTGCCGAGAGTCAAATGTGATATACCTGCTTAGAATAAAATCAGAAGCCAATACCTAATAATCAAACACGCTTCTGAATCCCAAATGTGCACTCAGATCAAATCTCACATCCTCGATGTGACCATATGTTGGGCGACCAAACATCCGAAGCAACCCAATATCTGAAGCAGCTCCATCAGATCCAAAATATCTAAACGTAACAGTCAGCAACCTATGATTAAGATGACCCGAATATGTCGAAGCCTGAACACCAAAATCAATGCTCGACATCAAACGTCGATCCTCCTCCAGTAAGGAATGACCCATCAAAATTGTCATCTCATCTCGTCGCCTAATGTTTCATCTCCAATGAAGTGTCTCAAACTGCCATGAGCTCGACACAAATGCAGAAAAGAACCCCTATCAAAATCAGAATGACATATTAACTTTCTGCCAATACACTTCTTCCACCTGTTGTTGACTACTAGGACATCACACCAACGGGACTTGGTTGTAACCCACAAATACCTAGAACAGTCACCAACACAGAAAACCAAATATCTATTACCATCCAATGATACCTCCTTGAAAGACCCCCAAATGTCTAAATGAATACCACCTAGAAGACCTCTCGATCAATGGATAGAAGAGCACGAATAGCCTGAAGAATCCGAATCTGAATTGTCACCACTAGTCTTGGCAACATTCACATTTGAAGCTTGAATAGTTTTCACCTTATTCTTCCCTACTCGATCTGTCAACTTTGGGCATTCGACTTTCCAACGTTCATCCTCTTTACAAAAAGCACACTGATTCCTACCAACTGAAGGATGTGTCCCTCTAAACTATGACCTCCTACCTCGGTTTGGACTCTTTGCTCTTGCGACCAATGCCCCGCTACTGGCTTAATAAAAGTCTCCTTATCCTTCTTCCGAAGCTGATAATTCACAAGTACAGCGGTGACCTCACTATACGAAAGAGATGCTTTTCCATTAATAATAGTAAGGACGAATGTCTCATATTACTCGTCGGGCAAGAAACTCAACAATAACAACGCCTTGTTCTCATCTTCAATCATCACATCTACATTCGTCAAATCCGTAAGAAGCTTCATGTAGTTGTTCATGTGATCACCAATGGAGGCCCCTTTCTTCAATTGGAAGCGATAAAACCTCCTATAGGTTATCTAAAAATCACTGCAGATAGCTAATCTCTCATCAAACACCGATAGTGGAAGTTACAATCTGACGACTTCCAGAAGACTATAATTTGAAGACTTTCACGTAGATCGATAAAGGTTACAATCTGACGACCTTCACAATAACAGATGAAAGCTCTAGTTCAACAGCCTTCACAATCAACATCAGAAGTTATAATCTGATGACTCTCATATTTTTAAAGAGCCAAGATGAAGATTATAAAATGACAGTTTTTGCAACGCTCCAGCAAAAGAGAGACCACAAATTGATGGTCTCTTCACATCAAAACGCAGAGGTCATCCTTGTATTTCACTATCAAAACGCAGAGGTCATCCCTGTGTTACATCATCAAAAAGTAGAGGTCATCTCTGTGTTACAACATCAAAACGCAGAGGTCATGCCCATGTTTCAGAGTCAAAACGCAGAGTTCATCCCCAGCGCTCCGGTTAAAAACACAGAGTTCGCGGACTTAAAACACGGAGTTCATCTCTACGTCCCAACTCTACGTTTCAAATTTACAACGCAGCACGACCTTTGCTTTCAGCCACCAAAATAGGCCCAACTCTGCGTTTTAAGTCTAAAACGCAAAGTTCGGGCCCTGAACGCTATTTTTCAGCGTTTGACTCGTTCAAAGCACGAACTGAACAGTTTTAAAACCGTTTTCCCCACAATTTAGGGAAGCAGTTTAAGGGGGCGGTTACACCCCATTCAGTCCCACTTAGGAGTGAATTAAGGGGGCAGTTACACCCAGCAGTTTAAGGGGGCGGTTACACCCCATTCAGTCCCACTTAGGAGTGAATTAAGGGGGCAGTTACACCCTTTAATCCCCTATAAATAGGAGTAAACATTCAGTCCCACTTAGGAGTGAATTAAGGGGGCAGTTACACCCTTTAATCCCCTATAAATAGGAGTAAACTCAACTGAGTTCAGGGCTTTTGGATCTTGGAGTATCTTGGAGATCTAGAGATCGGCTTCTTTGGATCATCTTCGAGCTTCTTGCAACAGATCATCTTCGAGCTTCCTACAGCAACAAAGTTCTTGGAGCATTCCCTTGGCTTATTAACTGATTTTTTGGTTCAAATCAATTCTTTTTCAAGAGTTTAAACTCGCTCTGAGTTATCAACTCGTTCAGAGTTTTAAACTTGATTTGCAAGTTCTCCATAGCGTCAAATCGTGAGGAGAAGATATCGTTCTAGTGAATCAAGCCGTTCGGATCGTCAACGGAGAGCAAACTCGACGCGAACATTCGAGGGAGGCACTCCATCACCACCGTGAAGAACTCAGAATTAAACAAAGGAGAGAATTCAGATCAATTCTCTTCTCTTTTGTAATCAGGAAATCTAAATTGTAATCAAGATTGAGAGAATAAAACATTCAATTCTTTCGTTGTCTTTTTACAAATTTTCCACCAAACACCTCCTCTTCAAATGCAAGCGATTTTCCTCTTCAAATACAAGTGTTTTTCCACACACTTCGTCAAATACTTGCTCTCTAGGATCTTCCAAATCTTCTTTGCCGAAGTCTCATTGATCACATCATATTTTAAATCTTATGTTAAACAAGACCTAATCACACCACACACACCGTTCGATTCATCTTCTTTTAAACTATTTCCACAATGTCGTCTGGCTTGCCGTCCAACTCTAACGTGTCTTTCAAATTTTACGCGTTGAGCGCATCCAAGACTTCACATCTCCAAAGACTAAAATTGTTTGTGCCATTAAACTTCTCCATATCTATCTTCATAGAGTGGATATTCAAACTTTGGACGGTCTTCATGCCGGAAATACTCTCCACAACTCCTTCTTTCTCGACTATCTTTTTCAAAGCACCACCAAACCAACGAGGAACAAATGAAGAATAGATCCAAACTGAAAAGAGAGATTTTTACCTCCAACTGAAACCCTAACAAGAGCATCTGAAAGATCTCATCCCCACACGACGGTAGACAAGATCCACAATAGTAAAAATCTTTCCTTTATCACTAATTAAAACCCTAGACGAACTTCCACAACGATCTAATCCTCCAATTAGCCCAAGCGTAGCCCGAGCTCTGATACCACTTATTTTGCGCGGGAGCCAATTTTTGTGCTTCGAGGAACCAAAACAAATGTCGGGAGAGCAAACCAAACAAACCAAAATAACGACACAAACACAAACAAATGAATTTTATATGGTTCGGCAAGTTGCCTACGTCCACGGGACAAGAAGGGGATGAGTTTTCACTAATAAAGAAGGTGAGAATAGAGATACAAATCCACAAACTAATCTCTCACATAAAGCTCTTAATCTCTCAAACAAAACCCTAACCAATAGCTCCAGAAAATACATCTTTTTTATGCTCCAAATATCCCCTATATTGCTCCCCCAGAAACCCTAAAACGTGTTGGTATTTATACCAAACACCAAACCAATTCAGAATAGGAAACTGCAAATTTGGGTTTGACCCTATACGCAGTCCACCGCGACGGTCGACCTGGACAAATGATAGAGCCCAAAAAATAATTGCAGGCTTCGGCGGTCGACCGCTGCAGTCAACCGCACCCAACTCCAGACTCTTGAGTTTGGATTACAGGGTCTGGCGGTCGACTGCGTCAGTTGACACCAAGACCTGAATCAAGCCCAGGGTCTGTGCACGAGTACGGTCGACTGGCCTTGCACCGCGGTCGACCGCATGTTAGTTTCGGTTACCACAAGGTGGTCCAATAACTTCCCATCATCAAGAGAGTTGGTTATGACTTAACCAACCACTTTGCCCACTAATTCCATTTATTGCTCTTTGATGGAGAGAGTATAAAAAGGGTATATAGATTTCGGGTCCCTACACCTGCTCTTCAATTTTTGAAAGAAAAATACACCATCGTTTAGTGAAGAGATAAGGTTCAGAAGATCTTCGAAATTAACATCCATATCTTTGAGTAAGATAACGATGGCTGGAGGTTAGTTTAATCCATTACGCTTCCGTTATGATATAGATTATATTTTTAGTTTCTAAACATGTTTAGATCGAATATTTGATTTTCTATCATGTTTAGATTAACTTTCAGTAATTTAAATATAGTTTACATTTGGTATCAGAGCTTTTGGTTGTAGAACTTATGATTTTCCATAATGATATCTATTTCTCGTTTTTTTTTATAATTAATTGTTCATTGTGAAAATCATTTGTTCTAAAGATCTTGGTATAATGATAATCAAATCAATAATGAAGTTCAAATTGATTTGCTTAATTAACAATTCGGATCTGTTTATTCAATATCTATACATATCCTGATTGTATTAAATACTTTAAGTGAAATAGCCTAGTGGTAAGGCTTGAGGATTTGGCCTAGAGGTTTGGTGTTCAAACCCCTAGGGCTACACCATATATTAGAAAGTCTTTGATGGGCCTTGGGCTCTTGGGGTCTCTTTGAATTCTAAAAAAAAATAAAAATTTCCTTGCTTTCATTTTTTCTTTTTTTTCCCCTGCCTACATTACGTATTTCACAATTTCTGGTTAATGTTTATTTTCATGCATGTTAGATCCATTGCGGTTATCAAGTGGTGGTTTCTGTGAATATAATTAAATGACTATTTAATTATTTTGGGAGTAGCCACAGCATCCTTAATTAATTAAAACTGTACAATAAGGTTTGTTATATCACTTGTTAAGGATCTTATTTAGAAGAGTAAACATTAATTGTGATTAATCGGATGTGATATAATATGTTGCTACGATGCTGAATACGTAGACTCGGTCGTTTTTTATGGGAACGAACCACCCAGCAACGTGGGTTAAGCGCTGACTTATCCCTACTTAGGCTTCGGGATAAAATGCCCCAGACTGGATTCTGGTGTCTTTTTCAATCGGTGAAAGACTAAACCGGCGACGCGTGTTTGGCGTTGACTTATCCCTACTTAGGATTCGAGATAAAATTCCCCGTGCCTTTGAGGCACGGATTTTGGGAGTTGAAAAAGTGTTGTCTTCTCTTGGGGCAAAGACGAACCCGATGCGGCAATTCCACCTGCTAATTACTCTGATATGAAATGTGATGTTCCCGAGCTCAAAGGGGACAACTACAAACTGTGGGTAAATTATATTTTCTAATTTACCCACAGGGATTAGGAAATGAAGCATAATTTGATAGTTTTATCATGAAGTTAAGATAAATCTAATTGAATTGGAACTTTAGCCCACAGGCAAGTTTTATGTCACTAGATTTATATATTTTCATGTTTTTACATTGGTAGAACATGTCATATTTTGTTAGCTTCAAAATTAGTAACATGAGCATGATTATTTAATTTATTGCAGCAATTCCACCTGCTAATTACTCTATTATGAAATGTGATGTTCCCGAGCTCAAAGGGGACAACTACAAAGTGTGGAAGGAGAGAGTTCTCCTTCATTTGGGATGGATGGACATAGACTATGCCATTAGGAAGATTGAACCCCCTACAGTTACTGAAATCAGCACTGCAGACGAAATTCAGCTTTATGAAAAATGGGAACGATCCAATCGTCTCTGTGTGATGTTCATAAAGACTAAAATTTCTGCTGGTATAAGGGGTTCAGTCGAGCAGGTCGACAAGGTCCAAGATTTACTAAAGGCTATCGATGAGCAGTTCGCCACTTCAGACAAAGTAATAGCGAGCACCCTGATCATACAGTTTTCATCCTTGAGGCTCACCAGCGTAAGGGGTGTACGTGATCATATCATGCGCATGAGGGACATTGCGGCTCAGTTGAAGGTATTAGAGGTTGAGATGTCTGAAGCCTTCCTGGTTCACTACATCCTTTGCACCTTACCTCAGCAATATGGCCCATTTAAGATATCCTACAACACACATAAGGACAAATGGTCGATCAATGAATTGTTGACCATGTGTGTTCAGGAAGAGGGCAGGCTGCTTATGGAGGAAAAGGAAAAGGAAAAGGAAATTGTGAACTTTACTACCCCTGGGAAGTACAAGAAGAAGGATCAAGCCAAGGACAAGGGGAAAGGGAAAATCCCTCCTCAAAAGGACATTAAGAAAGAGATTGTGTGCTTCTTTTGCAAAAAGAATGGGCACGTTAAGAAACAATGCTCCAAGTTCATGAAGTGGCTTGATAAGAAAGGTACTCAACTTTCTTTTGTTTGTTATGAATCCAATATGTTTGATGTTAATCATAACACATGGTGGATTGATTCTGGTTCTACAATCCATGTCACCAATTCATTGCAGGATTTACCATGTCACCAATTCATTACAGGATTTACGAGATCTGCGGAAGCCGATGGGAAGTGAGCACAGCGTCTATTCAGGAAATAAGATGCCCTCACATGTGGAGGCCATTGGCACGTGCAGACTGGTTTTAAGTAGTGGTTTTATTTTAAGTTTAGAAAAGACGTTTTATATTCCTAGTTTTTTTAGGAATTTAATTTCAGTTTCCAGACTTGTATCAGATGGTTATTCCTTTAACTTTTCAGATTTTTTGGATTTAATTTGTCTTATAAATATGATGTTATTGGATGTGGTACTTTGTCTGATGGTCTTTTCCTCCTTAATTTGCAAAATGATGAAAACCATACTTCTATGCACGTTCATGAAAATGTTGGTACTAAACGATGTGTTGTGAATGAAGAGTCTTCTATATTGTGGCATCGGAGATTGGGACATATCTCCATTGATAGAATTAAAAGGTTAGTGAATGATGGGGTACTTGGTACTTTGGATTTTACTGACTTTGAGACTTGTATAAGCTGCATTAAGGGTAAGCAGACTAACAAGTTCAAGAAAGGTGCCAAAAGAAGTTCTGAATTATTGGAAATCATACACACTGACATTTGTTGTCCAGACATGGATGCATACCGTGATAAGTACTTCATCTCTTTCATAGATGATTACTCGCGATACATGTATCTCTACTTGCTTAACAGTAAGAATGAAGCACTAGATGCTTTTAAGGTGTTTAAAGCAGAAGTAGAGAAACAATGTGGCAAACAAATTAAGATCGTGAGATCCGATAGAGGTGGAGAATACTATGGTAGATACACTGAGAGTGGCCATGCAAATGGTCCATTTGCGAGGTTTCTTCCAAAATGCGTTAAAAAAAGTTGTGTGTGTGTGGGGGTTGGGGGGGGGAGGGGGTTGGCCGGGGGATTTAGTTCATATAATTGCGTATATCTTTATGGTTGAAGAGGAAATAGCATGCTCCACTCGGATAGGAGCACAACTAATTCATCCGTCAATCTCGTGACAAATGCCAGAATTCACCTCTACCATCCTACTAATTCATTCTGACGGGACGCAATATCATGATGCGCCTATTCCTGTTCCCTTCCTTCAATATGTTTGGCTCTCGATAGTTTATGTGCCGGATACTCGGCCAAAATGTGAACCGTTAGGCCCATAAGCCACCATTACATACGAACACACAAAAAGAGCGACGAACACAGAAAAAAAAGACCACCTCCCATTGTTCCAGGTTTATTCGTTTTAGCAGTTCTATGATACATCTTGTCTGCATAATCCGTGTACAAAGTCAGATAACACACGTGTAATTTTACAAACTCACAGCTTCTTTTGGATAACCTACGAACTCCTCCCACCATCCTCTTTGGGTAGTAAACACCATTATACCAAAGTTTACTGGTTTTCTGCAGTCATGTGACCTTCAGGTTATAGCTGTGCACTTACCACCCTGTACGCCCTCAAGTTTCAAGAAAAGAGAGAAAACAAGAAAGAAAAGACACCAAACGCAGACAAAAGAGTTCCCTCTACTCCAGGTTTCTTTCTCAACGCGATTGTGTGAATTATCGCCTACATAGTACATGTACATTCTCATACCCTATCTTGGCAATATGCATGTTTGAATGCAAACTTTCAGTACTTGATGCATGACTTCGGAACTCGATGTGCTCCCATAATCAATACTTAGTAAGCATATCGACATCAAATACTTGGCCATTAGAGAACGTGTTAAGGAAAAGAAAGTGGTCATTGAGCACCTTAGCACTGAGTTGATGATTGCTGATGCTTTGACTAAAGGCATGCCACCAAAGAATTTCAAGGATCATGTAGTAAGAATGGGACTTGGTTCCATGATGTAAGTATTCATTGTATATATATTTGATATTTTGTTGAAACTCTTATTCAGTTGATATTTTCTCATTTGTTTTTGTGCACATACATATTTGTTTGTTTGAGAAATATCATTAAAGTTTGGACCTCGAATAAACATAGGGTTTATTCATTAAGTCATTTGGGATTGAGAGACACGATACATTGTGATACATGGAAGATACTACTCAACATTAGAGAACCTATCACCATGATTCATGTATTTTGTTTTTCATTAAGGAAGATGATGGAATGTTTGGACCAAGTGGGAGAATGTTAGTTTCGGTTACCACAAGGTGGTCCAATAACTTCCCATCATCAAGAGAGTTGGTTATGACTTAACCAACCACTTTGCCCACTAATTCCATTTATTGCTCTTTGATGGAGAGAGTATAAAAAGGGTATATAGATTTCGGGTCCCTACACCTGCTCTTCAATTTTTGAAAGAAAAATACACCATCGTTTAGTGAAGAGATAAGGTTCAGAAGATCTTCGAAATTAACATCCATATCTTTGAGTAAGATAACGATGGCTGGAGGTTAGTTTAATCCATTACGCTTCCGTTATGATATAGATTATATTTTCAGTTTCTAAACATGTTTAGATCGAATATTTGATTTTCTATCATGTTTAGATTAACTTTCAGTAATTTAAATATAGTTTACACCGCACACCACCAAAAAACAATTCCTGCTTCCAAAACCTGTTCTAAACCAATTTCTTCGTCAAATCTACACCTGAAGTTAATATATTTTGGTCTTAAATTCATAAAGATTAATTGTGGATAAACCCCCTCTAGTAGAACTATTTTGAACTGACCGTCTCTTGGGTTTTAGTTTTGCAGCTAAACCGCTGAGTGTAACTTTTTTTATAACTCTTTTACCTTTAGAGAAAGATTTTTTTTTTATTATTTGACAAATATGCACCCTAAGAATAAAAAGTCACAAGAATATTATATGCATGGTTCGATATCAGATGGGTAACTAAGCTATGGGAAGTAACTCTATAAAAACTTGAAATTTCACTTGAATTTCAAATTCAAAATGTAAGAATGTCTTATTTGAATTTCAAACTCAAAATTTTCTTTAAGTCTCAATATGAAAATAGAGTAAGACATGTTTCTCCTAGTCCTAGACTACCTAGTAGTTTTCCCGTCCTAAACTTTTCTCACAAAACAAAAATGAGTTTCCAGTAAAACTTCCTAATAAAATATTTTCAAAAATAAATCTAGGGCAAAATTGCCAACTTGCCTTTAAAACGTTGCTGAACTTCCTACTTCATTTCTAAGCAGCAATTTATCCATTATCCTCTTATACTACATGTATTGGCTCAACTTGTCATTTTATGAGCTCACGGTTAAATATTCAACAGATAGATGACATTGCATTGTTTTTCTATTCTTCTATTTTCTTCAATTTCAAAAATAATTTTCCAATTTTAGAATAAAATAAGGGGTAAACCGCTTTGGAGAAAAGTAGTTTGGAATTTTTTTTTCCATTTGGAGAAAAATGATTCAGATTCATAACACCTCAGGAAGAAATTCAAAAAAAAAAAAAAAAACACCATCATGTTATCAATCTGTTTAAATATTTGATTCGGGACTTAAAAAATGATTGCATTGAGGTTGTGCACATATAGTATATAACCTGATAATAGTTAAATCGGAACTTAGATCCTCACCAATTAAGTGGTAATTGGAGAGTGTTCAATTACCTCAGTCCTATCCCTCTATTTCAATTCTAACGTCTGAGATGAAGCCAAATAATAGGATTTTCACTATCATGTTAGTGGTTTTTAAAATAATGTTAGAGTCCTATATAGCTTAATCTCAATCCCTGAAATTGAAATAGAAAGTAAGAACTGAGATAATTAGACACTCCCAAATTTATCACCTAATTAGAGAGAATCCTGATCTATTAAATTGATGTTTTAAAAGGTTAAGAGGAAAGTTGTTAAATCAGCAATACTTAAGGAGTTGATCTATAAATCTATTTATATATCTCGTGAAATACGAAATCTTGAAATTGGATGCTCAAAACATCAAGTACAATCGGTCCGTAATGCATCATCGGATTACTTAAAGAACTACATCAATCAACTACATCCAATATAAAATAGCATCAGAATGTGATAAGTATTTTAAGGCATAAAACTCTAACAACTCGGTGTATTAAGTATTAGCATTTACTCTATCGTTCAAATTCCAACTGATTACCCTTGCTACCTGACTTTGGATATCCCTTTAAATATTACCTTGCATAACTTAGAAGCCAAGATTGTATAATTTACTCTCAATTAGACCTTGCTACCATAACAGAGATGAGTATCAGATTCTGTTGTTTCCTTGGATCTTGGAGCTTAAAATATGATGCTCTTCACTCTTAAATGAGCCCAGTATGTGCCCAAATTGGCAGAAGTCTTGACTGCAGTACTCGATTCCATTCATGAAGTTGTCGGACTCAAACAGTGCGCATCTCATTATGGTCTGGGTGAGATTGGTTCAGAGTCTTGTTTATTGCAGCGGATAGAAACGTGTTAGAATGCTGTTCGTACAATATTTATCATTTGAATAATAACAGAAGCTTATTTACCATTGATATGTTTTGTGAGATAACATATTTCAGGTATAAACAAGTATGAACAAGATGCAATTCGAAATGATACAAAAATCAATATGAAAATTGATTTCAGTTTTTGAACCATCAATGGTCAAGAGGCAATCATCGATGGTCAAGGATCTCATCGATGGTTACAACAACCAATCAGAGAAAAATAGAAACAGGAGTTCGCACTATCAATGATGGTTATAGGAAACTATTGATGGTTTAATGAGACAATCGAAGAAATCTAGAAACCAGCATCAGAACCATCGATGACTATAATGAAACCATCAATGATCACTGAGGGATAATCGATTGTTGTGATCCCTCCCATCAATGGTTATGATGACATTTGGCAGTTTTCTGGATTTAATCTCAACCATTTGTCGATCCGTTTGATCTTCAATATACACTCAGATTTGAGTATCTTTTCCTGTTATCAAGGTCTATTTAAGGCTAGTTAGAGACCATAATTAAGAGAAGTTAAATGAGGCAAATAAATAAAAAGGTGAGATATTTATTCTAGTGTTTGAGAGAGAGTTGATCAAATCCCTTGAGCCTCATTTAACTTCTTCTTAACGTCTTTTTCATCGGAGTTTGATTTAGTGAGAAAGAGTACCTTATTCTTACATCACTATGCTATTTCTTCATGGATTTTCATCTTCATTGATTTGAAAAATGATATTGATAAAGAGTTGTAAGATTGTTTTTTTTTTTTGCTTTAATTATTTTGATTGATTGTATTTCAAACTTGTGTGTTTGACGGTGTACTCGAGTCAGGATAATTGAAGATTAGGCTAGCTAGGGCTAGGTTTTTTCTAGCCATTGTGAAGAGTTAGTTAGACGACTGATTTTGGGTAGATTCTAAGGTGTGGTCTTTAAAGTCTACTGAATTAGGTTGTGATTTAGGTGAACTTTGGTCATAGTGAGGAACGCTTTTTGTAAGAAGGAAGAGTAGACATAGAATTTTGATCCGAACCGCTTCTATCGCTTGTGTTCCTGTGTTGGTTTGCTTTTTATTTCTCATTCACACCCCTCTAGGCTTGCATTTCAGTTCTAACAAAATGGACCATGTTTAACACGCCTTGATTTTTTTAGGGTTAATGTAACATCATCCCCAACTATGGGGGGTGTTGAACGTAACTATCTTGAACTTTGTTTACCTCACATAATCATCCTCCCTCTCACAACAACTTCATAAAACCTCCCTAAACATTCAACTTTTGTCATCAGACCCTATTAACGTCATGCATATGATTGCAATTTGCAAATGAAATGTTAGAGGTTGCACCATGCGAATTGATGACGTATAGAAGCCATATTTTGTAGTCAAATTTAAGGATATGATATGAAGCTACGAGTTGCAATAGATGACATTCTGGTCACAGGCTCTTATCTATTTTGACTCATGAACTTAACCCATTTTGTAATTGTATAATTACCTTTTTGAGGAAAATTTGTATAAAATTCCAAGAAGTGAAAATGATGTGGGAGAAGGTAATCAATTTAATTCGAGATTTTCCACATAATCATGCAAAAGGTCTGCCGCCCGACTGTAACCATTCTCATCATCCTTAAGGATTTTTTTTTAAAGGAAGCATGACCATTGATGGCGAAATGTGCCGAATACTTGTCAAATACCTAGATAAAACTCGAGAATACCTAGTGAAATTTCAAAAATAAGAGAAGCCCTCTTAAAGTTGGGAGAGCAAAACTGATCCCTAGAGAAGAATGAAGAATAAAGATGAAGAAATTGAAATTTCAAGAAAAGAGGAGGATCAAACTATCTACTGAAACATATGAGCTTGTGGATCGATAATAATTTGGAATACTATTTGAAAGAAACGAAGAGAAAGACAAAAATTCAAAATGAAACGCCATATGTGCTTCTAATTTAGCGTAAAAAGAACTCTCACTATACCCAATACCAACTTTCCTACGTAAAATGACGCAGACGTAGAAACGGGGAGGCCGATTGGATATCGTTTCGATGCCGACGAGTCCTGACAATAGCTGGTAATTCACGAGCGTGAATCCACAAACTCTAAGTTTCTCAAAGTTGAGAATATAAACAAGGAAAAGAATTCACTTGATTGATTAATTGAAAAAGTTGATTTACAATTTACAAAAGGAACTAATATTTATAGCCAACTAAATCTATCCTAACTCTAATAAAAAAGAAACTCTTAAGTCTAAAAGGAAAAATATCAAATCCCAAAAGGAAACAATAAAAAAAGAACTCTTTCTAAATCTGAAATCCAAGTCGACGCGAGGCGTGGCGAGTAGCAACGCCTTTCATATCGACTGGACATGAGCCGACTAACATGTGTCGACTAGCTCCCTTCGTGTCGACTGGGACGTGTCGACTGACAGGTGTTGACTAACACCGC